AACATCCTCCGGTGAAGCACAAGCCATGGATTCTGGTGGCGACGACCTCCCTCTTCAACCTCTTTTCTTCTGTCCTGCTGCACGTATCAAATTTCATGAGCTCAAACTAAAGATGCAAAATCATGATGATGATGGTGCTGAAGATGAAGATGGCGATGGTGACAAAGAAGATGGGGATTGCGATGAAGATGACGATGGTGATGATGATGGTGATGATGACAATGAAGATGGCGATTGCGATGACGATGACGATAAGGATGACGATGACTTGCTTCTTCCAATCAATTCCTCCCCTCACTTCCCCAGCACAAGAAGCGGTGATCAACAAGGCGAATCTTTGCTTGACTGCGACCACCCAGATGTCTGTAAGCTTCATGTAGTCCCTCTTTTTTGGTGCAACGTAACAATAAAGAAACTTCTACTATCGAATTTGAGTGCGGTGCATGCAAAATGACAACGCTCTGCGAAAGCTATCTTGCATGTCTCCAGTGCCAGAAAAAGTTCCACAAAGAATGTGTAGAGTCTCCACCTGAGATCAAACACCCTTCCCATCCCTTTCATTCTCTTCGACTTTGCAGTTTTCAGACAATTTTTACTAGCGGTTGCTGTGGAAAAATTACCTTCGGCATGTTTTATCAGTGTACAACCTGCAATTTGAGTATGCATCCCGTATGTGCGATGAGGCCAATACCCTTGGTTGTAGACTATCCGAAAAGCCATCCTCACCCTCTCTCCTTTTTCCCTACACAAGCTTCTACAGTTTGCCATATTTGTGCCCATATTAAGCAGCTTGATCCCACATATGTTTGTATCCCATGTGTCTTCGTAATCCATAAAGGTTGTATGGGTTTCCCACATATCATAAGAATATCTCGTCACCCTCACCGTATCTCTTTTACCTCATCTCTTCCATCCAGAACGTTGTCATGTGGAGTCTGTCATCAACAAGTTGACAACAATTATGGTGCATAATCTTGCAATAAGTGTGATGCTTATTTTGTTCATTCAAAATGTGCATCACATCCAAAAGTGTGGGATGGAAAAGAACTCGAAGGAGTGCCAGAAGAAGATGATTTAATAGATGATGGTGAGCCGTTCGTGAGGATAACTGATGGAATTATACACCATCCTTTTCATAGTCACCACTTGCGACATGAGATGAACTTAACTTACGACGAAAATAAGTATTGTCAAGGGTGTGCCCTCCCAATCTATGAAGGTCAGTTCTATTCATGCATGGAGTGCGACTTCATCCTCCATGAAAGTTGTGCAAATGCTCCACGCATGAAACGATATCCCTTATATCCGCATCCACTTACACTAAAGTTTGCCACCATAAGACATAGTTACACAGGTCAATTTCGTTGTAATGAATGTGGCCGTCATGGTAATGGCTTCTTCTATGAGCATCACGGAGAAGACAGAATCTTTCGGCTAGACTTGCGGTGTGCCTCAATAATCGAACCGTTGGAATATCAAGGCCACGAGCATCCCTTATTCCTACTTTGGGACGACAAAGAGAGACAGACACGTTGTCAAATGTGCAAAAACATAAGCTTCTGTTCAAAGTTATATTGCCTGGAATGCGATTATTCTCTATGTTTCCGTTGTGTTACCTTCCCATACAAGGTAAGGTATAAGCATGATAGTCATTTTCTCACAAGTTGCGATAGGAAAGAAGCAAGTGATGAATTAGACTGGTGTGACGTTTGCGAAGGCAAAATAGAAGAAGTGAAAGAAAAGGAGTATCACTGGAATAACAAGAAAACAGAACTACAATTCTATAAATGCAATGACTGCAGCACCGCTCTTCATGTTGATTGTTTACTTGGGGTAGACATGTACATGAAACCTATTGCAGACTACATTTCTGTCATCAGGCTCACATCTAAGGGTACGAAACGGAAAGATCTTTGGATTCTTCTCAACAACTCTCCCACCCGGCCAATTTGCACTAGATGCTTGTGCCGTTGTCCATTCCCAATATTTTTCAAAGGGCACACCACTATCTTTTGTTCTTTGTATTGTAGCGAGGACCGATCATCAAACTAGTTAATCCCTTTTGCCGTCAATTTGAAGTATGTTTGTTGTATTTCTTAATTTTCTTTCTTTTATATAATTTTTCAAAAATGTTTCACTTACGTTCTATTTTCATTTCCTTGAATTTTATTCACAATCAACTACATTACAAAAATTTTATTCACAATCAATTAAACACTGTCAATTGCCTTTAATATATTACAAAAAAACAAATATTTCTTTTGTCGTTGTTTATTTTTTATTTTTTTAATATAATTTTTCTAAAATCAGATCAATGTTACTAATATGAAAATTGATAACATATTTAATTGAAATTTTGTACAGTTAAACGCCCACAAGCATAGTTGGAGAAAGCCCCAACGAAAATTGACGGTTGTGATTCTCTCCACCAACTTTTAGTATCTTTGTTACTTGACTCATGAGCATTTTTCACAACATTTTTGAAAAACCTATGTAGGTCTCAACAAAAGAGCATGTAGAGATTATTGACAAGGAGGCAGTGCTACAAAGCCTGAGGGAGAAAGCGGTTGAAGAATCCAGTTGCGGGCAAAGCGGTGTGGTTGAGAGAAGAGCGGTTTCTGAACCGAGAAGTGAGGCTGTTGTGTATGCTACTGTGACCAGTCTCAGGACTTACCATTGTCAACAATCTCTGCTTGCTAATGGATACCTCAAATGGAAGCTGGAAGGTTCTGGAACGTCCCGTAAACGTTCTAGAACCGGCAAACGAAAATCAAAGGCACAGGAAGAAGAATCCAAGGCATAGGAAAGAAGAAAAGAAAGCTTTTGGTGTATGTATATAAACAATAAAACAAACACTAGTCTAACCGGAATAGAAAATATGGAAGTTAGTGGCGTTTTGAGGGCTGAGTGAATTTTGTTTTTGGTCCACACTCGGTTCTTTAAAACCGAAGTTAACCAGGAATTGAAGGGGATAATAATCTTTGTTCGGTTTGGTTCAGTATCGGTTGACCTTTCGTAGAAGCTATTACTTATTAGCTTTACGGAATCGGTTTGCATTCGCAATATTATAAAGATTACAAAATGATCCAGCGATGCCAGATTTTTTTTTGTGAAAATTACATATTTTGTAAGAACCTTTGTAATTTTAGATAATCAAACTAAGATTTATGTCCAAGGATTTGATCTATAACGAAAATTGTGTATATAAAAACATTTGCCATATTACAGTATATCAATGGTATAAAGAAATTAAAGATTAGGTAAGTTAGATGTCATTCATTGCGCTCATATAACACCTAGTTCTTTATATTTTGTTTATAGTTGAATAAATGTATAATTATGTTTAGCAAGTGGAACTTCTTTAAATTTTTGTTTAATTTTGCATTTAACATTGTCTTGCGTGAATTCAGGACATGTTCCCTACTTCAACGACTTTGGTCAATCTCATTAATTAGAAGAACTTCAACTCTTCAAGTATATAAAAGAAAGATCGTACAGAGAGAGAGAGAGAGTCGAAAACAATAATTAAAGACTTTCTATAACGAATCATATAAAAAGACCATAAGTCCTTGACCAAAGTAATATAAACATATATAGAAACCAATCTTAGCTGTATTTTGATGGATTTTTCATTGAAAATAACTAAACCAAAGTTGGCTTTATTTTGATTAATCTTAAAAAGAAAGTAAATTGTTGTCAACTGTCAAGAACTTCAAGTTTGAAGTTGACATTTTTTTTTTTTTTTTCGTAAATAAAAGCAAATTTGAATTCGTAACCTAGTTTTAGTTTTATTATTGAACTTTATATGGATTGTAGTATTTTCTTATTTACTCTTCTAGTAAAAATAATATGGGTAGAGCATGACATGTTCCGTTAGTTGAAAGCTTCTTCCAATTGAAAGTGCATTTTCATATAAAACTAATCTTTAGAAACAAGATCCGAAAGAGACGGTCTCATCTAATTAGAAATTAATATATACAAGATTCGAGATCAATAATGAACGACCTTTTTGTATAACAAAGAATAGAAAAGAACAAGCTTAGCTGTATTTAGTTATTTACAAGTTTTAAACTAATCTTTAGAAACAAGATCCGAAAGAGACGGTCTCCTCTATAATGAAAATAATTAGAAATTAATATAAGATTCGAGATCAATATTGAAAGACCTTTTGTATAACAAAGATACCAAGCTTAGCTGTATTTACAAGTTTTAAATTAAATGACCGGCTAATTGTATAAGTGCAGGGTGTGGGGAGGAGAAGAAAAATATCACAAAAATCCAAATCCCCAATCACCATAGCAGCAGCCATGAGTTCTGTAGGTGTATTTCGTAAGGTTGAAATGGATGGAAGATCATTTTTGGTTTACACAACAACACAAACACATAACCCAACCTCTTCCGGTGAGGCATTAGCCATGGATTTTGGTG